CTTCGCCCAAACTCCATGTCTTCCAGATGTTGGACCGCAGTTCCAGCCTGTTGCATGCTTGTCATCGTTTCAATGGATTCGTCATAAGTTCGGTGCAGCTTTCCCGACGCAAAGTCAAACACGCGGACCTTGCGGTCAGGGAACGAAAATGTAGCAAATTGCTTGCCAGTGGGAGAAATGATGAGCGAGGTAGGGACGCATTTGGACTTTTTGAACTCAAACAGACTTGTCGAGCTCTTCAAAGACCACACATTGTCTGGTTTCTCATAGTTTCCATTAGGTCTCCAGTACTCCACCATGCCGCCTTGGTCCACGCTCACCACGCAGTCGTAGTCGTTGTTGTACGCCATCAGACTTACGGGCGCTCTGTGCACACTTTTCAAGACCTGTAGTGGCTCCGGGTTCTCGCCCCTGCCATCGTATATACGGATCCAGCTGTTCTCTTCCGAGCTGACAGCTAATTGCGGGAAGCTTGCGCCTCGGCCATGCAGCCAGCAAACAGCTAGAGGGGCATAATCCAAAGTCAACATGGCCAGCAGGTCGAATGTGATGACATCAAAGATCTTGATAGTCTTGTCCGCACCAGCAGTCGCAAAGCTGCGACCGTCTGCGCTCACGTTGACAGACTTGATCTCACCGCTATGGGCGCGAAACTCTTTGACAAATTCGATCCCCCCAAAGACCTTTTTCCAAAACTTAACAACGCCATCAATGGAGCTGGTGATGAGAAAGTCGGTGTGGGGAGTAAATGTGGTGAAGCACAGTTGTTCGCGATGCATGAGTGATTTCGAGTAGCGGGTTGCGCCAGGCAGCGCAGCAACGTAGAGCTTCTCATACGGAAGTTTTCGTTTCTTCTTTTTCGGCGCAGAGGAAGGGAGGGCGGGCCCAAAGTCGTCGTCGTCGGAAGATGTATCCTCTAGAGAATATAGTGTTAGAGAGAGTTGCGCACATACAACACGGGCGGATAGTACCTTCGTGAGCCTGCGCTGCAGATTCCCTTGCAGACATGCTGCTCTCGGCCTCCATTTCGGCGCGAGAGCGCTTTGGCTTAGTCGGCGACTGCGACCCGTCCATATTTATTAGGTTGTAGGAAAATATCGTGAGCGTGTTTACCCAACATCGTCCCACACACTCGGTGGCCGGGCCTGCATTTCGCTAGAGCGCGCTGTCACGTGCGTTCCTATGGCCGGTCTTAAATTACAAGCTAGTGAACATACGTCACTCAGGTACACCACGTGATAATGCATACAGAGTCAAGCAGAAGTTGGGCAGTTTATTTATTAATGTTGCCATGTCATCGTCCCGTACTATCGTACATGATGCCCATCGCTCTACCCTCGTCACGGCCGTAATGTGATTAGCATCACAATCTACAACTTCTGGTAATCTAGCTTGCCCTCGAGCTTCTTCGACTCGGCCATCTTTCGGACTGCCTTGTTGAAATCGTCCTGGTTGATTGAGTCTCGGTAGTCCTTGATAGCGAAGAGGCCGCTGGAAAATATTAGCACCTATTATCTTTTTTTCTCTAGTTCAAGCAAGAGTACTCACGCTTCTGTTACGACGTTGCGCAAATCGGCGCCGTTGAATCCATCGCTCATCTTGACAATGCTCTCAAAGTCAATTTCACCATCTGTGACAACACTTCCAGAGTGAATCTTCAGAATCTCCAAACGTCCAACTTCGTTCGGCAGGGGAATCTCGAGCTTGCGGTCAAGACGTCCAGCACGCAATAAAGCGGGGTCAAGGGTATCTGGGCGATTGGTTGCCATGATGATCTTAGTCTGACCGAGGTAGTCGAAACCATCCAGCTGGTTCAGCAGCTCCATGAGCGTTCGCTGAATCTCACGATCTGCCGATGTACCTTCCGAGAAACGTCGACCGCCAATGGCGTCAATCTCGTCCATGAAGATGATACAGGGTTCGTGCTCCTTTGCGTAACCAAACATTTCACGGATCAAACGCGCCGACTCGCCAATGTACTTGTCGACAATGGCCGACGAAACAACCTTGAGGAAGTTCGTCTCCAGACTGCTCGCCACGGCACGGGCCAGCAGCGTCTTTCCGGTACCTGGGGGTCCGTAGAGTAGCACACCCTTTGGTGGCTTGATGCCTACTCGCAGAAATAGCTCGGGGTTCTTGAGTGGCAGCTCAATGACCTCACGGAGCTCGCGAATCTGCTCATTCAGACCACCAATTCCACCAAAACTGACCTGGCCGGGGTCTTCCAACGACATGTTGTAGACGAGGGGATCGACTTCGCGGGGCAGCATGCGCATTATGGTAAGGGTTGTCATATCGAGGGCAACACGTGTTCCCTGTTTGAGCTTGGCCTTATCGACCTTTGACCGGCATCCGACGACATAGCGGGGGCCGGATGATGCCTTGACAATGACTACAGACGCCGGGTTAGCATTCGAAGGTGGCGGAGTCTCCAATATAACGTACATCGCTCCTCATCCAACTGCTTGAGTACCTCGCCTATTATCTGACCAACACTCTGCAGCGCCTTGATGTTCTCCTCCGATACGTCAAAGTCATGCTGTAGACCTTTTATCTCCAGTCGCAACGCCTTGAGCTTGGCCTCCCACTCTCTTGACTCGAGGAGCTTAGACTTGTAAGCTTCGAGCGCATGCTCGCGTTCTTGGTCGCCACTGCCACTCATGGTGGGATATGTTATGTCTGTGGGTGGGCGGGTGGTGGATAATTGAAGGCGGTGCTGCGTAGATGGACAGCGGCCGGGTTTGCTGCAGCGGGTGCCTCTGCCTGAGGGTAACAGCCGGACGGGGGGAGTGGTTCGATCCGGGGAATAGAAACCTAGAAGGGGCGGGAAAGCAAAGGTGATTTGTAACAAACGACGATGATGGCGGTGATGGAGTCGATGATGTGCCCCAACGCGGCGGCGGAACGAGCGCGCTCAAGGTGCACGTGCGCCAAGACCTCCGCGGCGGTGGCAGCTCCCATCCCAGTCGGCGTTGGAAAAAAAGTTGGCCGACCATTTTTCAGGTCGCATCTGGAAATCACCAAGGGCCTCTGTCGCCCACAATCACCACCTCGCCATCATGTCCTCTTCCTTCTTCACCACCCCTGCCTCGCAGCGGAAACGGAAGCGATCCGAAGCTACATCCAGCGCTCCCAAGAGGCGCAACACCGACGCCAATGCCCGCCGCACCCAGCGAGAAGACTCTATCAGCGGCAGCGACGCCTCCGAAGACGAGGGCGGACCCGTCTTTGACGATGACAACGACAGTGACGAGACTTCCGAAGACGAGAATGAAACAGCTGCTGAAAAGCGTCTCCGACTTGCAGAGCGCTATCTCGAAAACATCCGCAGCGAGGTCGAGCAAGAGGTGGGCTTCGATGCTGAGCAGATTGACAAGGATCTCATCGCAGAACGATTGAAGGAGGATGTCGCAGAGGGCAAGGGAAAGATCTACCGTTCCATAGCCGACGAATTGGACTTTGAGCGCGCATCGCATGCTGCTGGCTACTCGGGCCTGCAAAAGGCGACAACAGGCTGTGCCGTCAAGCTGCCTTATGCGTGGACAGTCAGCAAGGACCTTGTCGTAGAAAAGTGGGAGATTGCCGACCCAAAAGTATACGCGCCCGATGCCTCCCGTCCAACCAACATCACGCCGCGTAGAACCCCCAAGCGACTCCTCTGGCGCAAAGGAAACAAGAACAAGAAAGGTGATAGGGCCTATCTCGGTCACACTGGCGAGATTGTGTCCATTGCTATATCGGACTCTGGAAAATATCTGGCTACTGGCGACATGCATGCCCGACTAATTATTTGGGATGCCGATACTCTAACACCCCGCCATTTGTTCACTCGCCATCGTGATGCTGTCCTCTCGCTTTCGTTCCGACGAGGTACCGACCAACTATTTTCGGGTGGAGCAGATCGCGCCGTCATCGTGTGGAGTGCTCCAGAGTCTGCATACATCGAGACACTTGTGGGACACCAAGACGCCGTCATTGGGGTTGCTGGTGGACTGGAGGTCAATCAAGAGACGTGTGTTAGTGTGGGTGCCCGAGACCGCACTGCCCGTCTATGGAGGGTTGTCGAGGAGAACCAGCTGGTATTCCATGGTGGTGGCACAGCAAGACAAAAGGGCATGGATAAGCTCCGCAAAGGTCGCTTTGGCAAGAATGTTGATGGAGACGATGCAAAGGACGGAATGACCAACGGCACACACCCTGACGACGACGATACACCCATTGCTTACGCGGAAGGTTCCATTGACTGTGTCGGCCTCCTTGACGCCAGCTTGTTCGTTACAGCTTCCGATAATGGCGCCCTCTCCTTGTGGTCAGTCACTAGGAAGAAACCTCTTTTCACCTACCCGCTTACGCATGGCCGTGATCCACCACTTGCGCCAGAAGAAGTGTCAGCTAATCACGATGCCGCCACTTCGGTCAAACCGGGACCGCGTTTACCAAGATACGTTACTGCGCTCGCCACGGTACCGTTTGCCAATCTTATTCTTACAGCGAGCTGGGACGGCTGGATACGTGCTTGGAAAATCACCGACGACAAGAGGAGTATTGCGCCGATTGGAAAGGTGGGACGCGTACCTCTTGATGAGGATGCAACAATGGATGGCAACGGTGAAGATGGCCCAATTCTGATCCGAGGCATTGTCAACGGACTCTCGATACAGGAACGAGGCGACAGGGGTAAAGACGGATTATGCATTGTAGCAGCAGTAGGCAAGGAACCAAGGCTAGCAAGATGGATGTCCGGTAAAGTCAAAAACGGCATCTACGTTTTCGAAGTGCCGCGGAAAAGCCTAACTAATGGCGCGGCTGATGAAGAAGACGAAGATGAGGACGAGGAAGAAGAATCGTAATCCCAGGGGCAAAAAAAAGCATCTTTTTTGCATTTTCAGGGCGTTCTTCTTTTCTGTACAATTCGCATTTTCTCCCCCGTATCTAGATACCAAATCTGAAGTTCTGCACTCCATGGAGGGCCAGATTAACCCCAGCTTTCGATCTTGCGCTTATGAGGAGCCATATGCGAGTTTCTCGACATTCTCCATATTGACATTCCCATCTAGCATATTTGCTCGCAATTCCATTTCTCCAAAGTAATTGGGCCCCGTACTATGCTTGAACCCTAGTTTCTCAAACAGCGCCAGGCTGCGCTTGTTGTCTTTGTCGATTTTAACGCGTAGGTAGCGCAAGCTTGTTCTTCTTTGCTTGTCTTGTTGTGCGTATTCTGCGAGGAGAGCGGGTAGGGAGGAGGAAATGTACCACATGAACGCCTGGAGTGCTTCGTGTGCGAGGCCTTTTCCTCGAGCTGATGGTTCGGCGATCATAATTTCTAGTTCACCGACTACCAGGTCTTCGTTATTTTGCTTCTCTTCATCCTGTACATTATCTTCATCATCATCGTTGTCGTAGGGATACAAGAAGAGATTCTAAGTGTTTTCACGTGTTACACAAATTTGTCTTCAAGCGTAGTGTGATTGACTTACTACATCTCCAATCATGCACTCAGGCGCATCTTGCTGTCCAGGTATAACTTGCTTCTTCTCAGCCCATTCGGAGCGTTCTGGTGCGGTGCAGATGATAAATGTTAATTTATCGGCATCTTGTCGCCAAGACTCTTGCATCGAGTATTCTTCTGGCAGCTTAAGAGGCTCGGATGCTGTGAGCTTTTGTAGTTCCTGAATACTTCCGTAAGACCATTTATTTTCTAAGAGAGTGTGGGGGTTTGGAGGATGGAGGAGGGGGTAATGTACTTCATCTTGCATCCATTGGTGGTAGGTTAGGACATGATGCGAGCAGTATGGCACCAGGAGCATGCGCGGAGTAAGGATGCCTAGGACGTGGTTAGAACTTGAGAAAAAGAAACATATATAGGATAAGATGGCATACACTCGTTTTCGTTCAACTTCATTGTTGTGGTGTTGAGTGGTGAATTTTTGTAGTGATTGGAAATGGGGCTGAAATGGAAAAAATAACCTCTCGTTGTCACGCGCTCAATATAAGTAGGATTGCCACCACACTCCTGTATTGTATTAAAGAGATATCAATATCGATTTAGAAGCCCGAGAAATTTTAGAGAATTTCAAAACTATTACACATCAAATAACAACACAGATTTGATGTGTGAAGTCGTATTGGAGAATATGCATCGAACCTAATGGGGTTAGGCGAGAGACGGCAGGATGGTCCGGTTCGAACGGGTCAACGGGTCAACGGTCTGACTTGTAACCTCATCATAACAGACCCAACAATTGATTTCTTACACGCGCCCACTTTTTAGCAAAACATTGAATCAACACTAAAAGAGAAGGAGAAACCCATTGGAAGAAAAATATTCTAGCTAGCAACATTACCAGGATCGTACCGCGACTTTCCGGAGCCCCGTTAATAAACAATTCCCCTTGGATACCCCAAACTAAACCCACCACATTTCATAAAACCCAACTATCTTTCCTTCTCCAATGGATCCCCCTCACATTCTCATAACAGGCGGCAGCGGCTTCCTAGGCACAGCCATAATTTCCGTCCTACTCTCCACCAAAAAATACACAATAACCGCCCTCGACATCTCCCTCCCACCCCTCGGCACCCAAACCTTCAGCTCCAACCCACGCGTACGTTACACGCGCTGCGACATCCTGGACGCCCCCTCTCTCTCCAAAGTATTCGCGGAAACCCGGCCTACGGCTGTAATTCACACAGCCGGCATCTTCTACGTGGGCACACGGCGGTACAGCATGAAGGACCGTGACGCCGTGTTTAAAGTAAACGTAGAGGGTACACGGAATGTGCTGGAGGCAAGTAAAGAGCATGGAATTAAAGCCTTTGTGCACACGAGTAGTATCACGGTACTCTGCGATGATTTATCGCGAGATTTCAGGAACGTAGATGAGACGTGGCCATTGGGAAAGACGGATACATGTTATGGACAGAGCAAGGTATGTATATATTCCAACAATATTCTTCTCCTCCCTCTCCTCTTTCCCTTCCCCATGTCCTGTCTCCCAATCAATAAAAAAAACCACCCACCCACTCACCAACCTCCCTTCCTTCCTTCAAAAAAAAATAGGCCCTAGCAGAATCCCTCGTCCTATCTTCCAACTCCCCCTCCCTCGCCACCACCGCACTCCGTCCAGCCCCCATCTTCGGCCCTACAGACCGCATCTGCATCCCGACCATCCACGCCTGCATCGACGCAGGCCAAACCCCCTTCATCCTCGGCTCCGGCGCCAACCTGCAAGATTACGTCTACGTCGACAACGTAGCGCACGCCCACGTGCTGGCCCTGGAAAACTTACTATCTTCTACCACCAACCGCACGGCGGCGGGCGAGGCAATGTTTATTTCAAACGACGAACCCGTTGCCGCGCGAGCGCTGTGTCTGGCGATTTGGCGCGAGTTTGGGCATGTGCCAAGGTTCGAGGTGCAGTTGCCCGTGGCGCTGGCGCGCTGCATGGGGATCGCTGCTGAGTGGACGGCGTGGGCGACGGGGCAAGAGGCAAGTCTGTGTCGTGGTATGGTGAGTGAAGGGTGTAGGGATTGCTATGTTTCGGTGGAGAAGGCTAAGAGATTGATTGGGTATGAGGTCAAGGTTGGGTTGGAGGAGGGCATCAAGATTAGTTGTCGTGAGTATAGAGAGAGGCTTGAGGCGAGGAAGAGGCCGTCGGTGTGGAGTTGATGTCTTTGCTCTTTTGTTCGGTGCACTATGGTTGGACATGCTGACTACACTTGTAGCGACTGTATCATCTGACCACATGCCTATTTATATACGTGGATTCAGATCTAATGTCAAAACATCTTCCTCATTTTTCAACATTCCGACAGTCTCCGCTCAGCAGTTCGAGAGTGCTCACTCTACACTTTTCCAAAAAAAAACCCCATCAATCCTAAAGTCTAAATCATGCTACTCAACAGTGCACATATATGACAGACATCACAAGTCTCATGACCGTATCCTCGTTCAGCAAGCTGACTTCCATCATTTCATCTAATGTACGTCCAGTCCGCCTCACACTACGCTCCCGCACTATCCTAGTTAATGACTTCTTCGCTCTCTTCAATGATCTCCTCCACAATCTCCTCAATCTCCTCCTGGTGGCCATCCTCTGCTTGTCCAGGAGTCTCTCCCTTGAGGAATGCCAGTTCCAGGTCTGCACCTTCTTCGCGGAGTCTCTGGGTGACCTGTTCCCTCCATGCATGCCACTCTTGCAGCATCTCGCGGCGGGCCTCCACAACAGCCTTGTTGGCTGAGCTTTTCTTGGCAAGATCCTGTTCATCAAAGATCTTGGAGTAGTTGCGCAGATTCTTGCGGATCTCAGCTTGCTCTTCCTTGGAGAGCAGTGTCGGGGGTCGTGGGCGCCAGAGAAGTTGCTTGAAACCTTCAATGGCTTCTTCCCGGAGAAGTTGGCCCTTGAAGTCATAAAGGTGGTAGCCGTTTTCCATCTAGTGGAGAATTAGCAAAGCAAAAAACAATAACCGAATCATTATACATACGCGGTGACGGAAAGCGCTAGCAACGGTAGCGACATAACGACCTGTAGGATCCCACTCAATGTCTGTGACACCATAGTGCTCGGCAGTATCCATGAGCTGCAGGTTGGCGTTGACCTCCTTGTCACCCTTCTCAGACTCGTCCTTGGGCTTGTCGAAGCTCATGTCCCAAAACTCGAGCTCGAAAGATTGCTGCGATTGAAGGGCAGCGACAACGACAAATCGTCCCTTAGGCGACCAGTAGATGGCGTTGCTATTCTTCTTGTCAATGGTTCGGATGTGACGGAAGTTTCCAACGGCTCCTCCCTTTAGCTTTTCGGTGGCGAAGAAGGAAACAGCAGTCTTGGGGCCGACGGCAGCGCCTTGAATAACCTCGCCAGTGGTGATGAGCACGAAACGGTTACCCTTGGGTTCCCAGGCAAAGTTGATGACGGTATCCTTGATAGAATCGACGACTTCGACCGGTACACCCTTTTCGCGAACGCGGAAGATTTCCAAGTTGGTTGCAAGTGACTTCTTGGACTTGGAGTGGCGATCGACCTTGACGCAGACATAGGCGGCTTCTGATTGCCAGTGTAGCTTGGCGTCGGAAACGTTGAAGAGGTTACGGGTACGCACAACCTCCTTGGATGGGATTGACATGAGTCCGACCTTGGCGGGGTTGCTGCCAAGTTCAGGGGTCCAGTAGCAGAAAAGCTGTTCGTAGGTCTTGATTCCCTCTCTGCGTGGGGTAGCGGGGGCCCACTCAAAGTCCATAACACCCTCAATCTTGACTGATGTCTTGTCGAGTAGGTTCATGCGAGGAAGCTCGTAGATGGAAATGGACTGGCCCTGGGTCATACGTGCAACGTACTTGTCGTCAGCAGACCACTTGAAGGTAGGCCACTGCAGCTTCTTCTTGATGGGGTTGCCTTCACCATCGGTGCCACCGGGGACATCAATGGTAGCAAAAGAACGCAGGGGCTTGCCAGTGGCAATGTCCCAAATGATGTAGTTTTTGCCATCCTCCTCGAGCGAGAGAGATGGGACGGGGTGGTTCTCGTCAACCTGGAGTGGGCGGTGCGACCAGGTGGTCAGGTATTTCTCACCGGGCGAGAAGTCGACAAGGTTGACACCAGGATGCGCGAATCGTTTTTGCCTGCTCCATGACTTGCCTCCCCACAGTTGCACACCCTGGGCGTGCATAGAAGTGAGGTAAGTTCCCTGTGGCGACCACTGAATAAACGACTCTGTCCAGTTCTCGCGATCAACAACCTGCTCCGGCTGGTCTTCCCTCTCGTTCCAGTAAACACCGACCCTGTCCTGGCGGTACATGGCAATTTGGTCGCGGCTGTCCTCGTCTGCGAGCCACCACCTCAGGTGCTCCTTTTGCTCGAACGGAGGAATCTCGGGTGGGTGGTATTCTTCGTCGACACGGCCCTCCTTGCCGTAGCGGTCGATGTCGGTGAGTTTGTTCACGGCCATGGTGTGCTTCTTGTCGAGTGGAGTGCCGTGGAGCTGCTTGACGGCTGCAACGGCCTCTGCGGGCGCGCTGTACTCGACAAAGGCATATCTGTGTTGCCGTCAGTGCCTTGCTCACCGTCTGCGAATGTGCGTGGTGCGCATGTCGAAATCAACGTACCCCTCCGTCTTGCCCGACTCGTTTACGGGCATGTGTACACCATCATCCTTGACCTTGCCCACGCTGTTCAGTTTGCGCAGCACGAACTTGATCAGCTTGCCCTTGCTGTCTTCGGGCACCACTGGCAGTCCGTCAATTACGACAAAAGCATCAAGCCCCTCATCCAGTCGGACCTGGAACTGCTCTTCAATGTCGGTAAAGTCGATTTGGCTCTCGTCAAATTCATCGTCGCCATCCATGGGCAGATTTGAGTATGCCGACGCCATGATTGCTGCCTGTGCGTGTCGATGGCTGTAACAATATGCCTGCGGGGGTGAGACTTTGGCGACTTGACTTGTAATTTTGGTGCGCGCTAGTGGGGGTGGTCGCACGGGCCTCTTTACATACATCGACTTGATAGTCATTCGGATAGTAGTGCAAGTTCAGACAACCAGTCCGCGCTATGCTACACAACACAGTTCATAAACGAAAAATAAAAACCGAGAATAGTTGCATAAAAATCGATTTCTGCATATCCAAAGGCAGAGGCAACACGCCCAATCCAATATCGCTAAATGGCCTCCGTCGTTTCTCTGCGTCTATCCGCACTCGCACCTTAGCCGGTTGACGCCCATCGCACAAAACCGCACGCCACCCACGGAAGGTATACACTAGAAGATCACAAATACATGAGCATCGGCTATCCTTGCAAGCTGCGCTTACCTTCAGCTGAATCCAGGTTTGGACTCTTGACCAACCTTCCACCTGCAGATACCCGCTTCTGCATGCGCGCCTCTCGTTCCCGCGCTCTCTCTGATGGTGAGCTACCATTCCCGGCTTGAATTGGTGGTAGAGGTGGGATCTTCTCTGCACTGGAAGATGCCTGGTTGTTTGCCATGGGCGCAGGGAGCTTGCCCGCACGCTGGTCCGCCTTGAAATCAAGGTATGCTCGTGCTGAGTGACCCAGCGGGATAGGAGCGGGCGTCATGGGCAACTCTGAGCCATTCTGTAAAAGTAATTCTGCCACAGGAAAAGCTTTGCGTGAGGCTTGTGCTGTGCCTGGTCGCGGTGGTATGCCTGGCGAGGTCGCTGGTGATGCCGACGCCGATGGTGATGCTGGGTCGGCTGCTGCAAGTGCTAGAAACACAACATGAGTGCCTCGTGACCGATCGCGCGCATTAGGATTGGCTCGAAGTGCCAGTGCATAGAGCACATTCTGAATGTCGTTCTTCTTAACAGACGCTAGTAGCGTCTCCTCTGGATTCGAATAGTGTGACATGCTCGGCGATATTGGCGCTACAAACGCCCGTTCCGCATACTTTGATGTGATAAAATGAAGTCTCTGCTCGCGCGTTGACATTGGTCCGGGTTTCTTCCCAGGGTCTAGCCTGGCTTCCCAGATGGAGTTGCTGATGCGGTTACCAACTTTGAGGAGTATCTCGATGATATCGGGAGTGAAGGAAGTGACGTCCAGTGTCAAGGAGCGCACCTTTGTGATATGTGTGCCTAGCGACCGATGAATGCCGCTGCATTCGATGCATATGACAATGCCGAGATTGATAGACACCCAGTCGACCTTGATCTCGGTGCCACAATCCGCACACACTCGATTGCTGGCATCTGCATCTCGCACTTGCTTCAGCAACTTTCCATCGTCACCAGGTGCTTCGTCTCGACGATAGCCGCCAGGCCGATCGCCGACTGTGGCATGTCGAGCAGGGGCCTTGGAGCTGTAATTGTTGCGGTGGCTCGACATGGAAGGGCTTTTGCCGGTGAGTACTGATGCGATATCTCGATGGGTTTGCCCAGGCAACGAATCAGTCGACGGCCTATCGGATTGCCCCGCAGACTCGACAGCTGTCTGCAAAGCGTTGTTGACAGCGTTGATCCAAGACTTCATGTCATCTTCATTGGTAGCCTGATACACTCTTGTGTACTGCGGAGTTATGACCTCGAAGCAAAATCGCCGGTCAGCATTACGTGCTTCGCGCACTGAGGCCATTCGAAGATCAATGGGATCCATGTGCAGTTCCAAGCTCTGCTTCCAGTTTGTGTATTCTGAAAGCTTGCCTTGATCAAGGACAATCCAGAACCTGGGCATATATATCAGTAGGGGTTCAAATTCGTGGTGGCACGATGTACGGAGACTCACTTGTGCCAGGCTTGTTTATTCAAACCCTTTGGATCTACATGGCTTCCGGGTCTGCTGAGCGCCCAAAGAAGACCCTGTTTACGGCCCGTGCCCGAGCCGGCCTCAACCATGGCAGCGAGGTCCTTTTCTTCCAGATCCCTGAATCCCTTGAACTTGTCCGGCTGTGTTGTGTTCATTGCCAAAGTGGTCTTGCTTGCCTCTGGGCTTTGTGGTAGTGCTATAGACGAAGGAATACTTGTAGATGTGGCAGCCATGGGAGAGGCCACTGTACTCTGAAATACAGGAGCGATGCTGCTCTTTCGGCCAGGCAATGATTCCGGTTCGGATCTTGATATTGACCTCGACACAGTTGCAGTGGACGCTGCTGGTGATGTGATTGACTGGCTTGGTACATCGTCGAAGGTCTTTTTGATTGTTTCAAGGGCGCGTCTTTTTTCTTCTCTTTCGGTCCTCTGAATCTGGAACTCTTTGTCTGCCTCTTTGACTTCACAACTCAACGCCTCGAGATGGGGCAGCATGGTCTCAATCTTCTTGGCGGTCTCGAGGTAGCGCTTGGCCTGGGCGTCTGCGTATCGGGTCAGGTGGGAAAGAACTTCTTGATCTTTTCTGCCGCCATGTAAATCTTGCATGAATGAAGAATAATCGAATCGCTTCAGCTCAAAGTTGCGCCTTTTTGCGAGATATTTGGAGTCGGTCTCGGCGCGCTTCTTCTCCTTCAAAGTATCCTGCCGCTGACCAAGATAGCGACCGAGGTATTGATAGTAGTCTTTGCTCTCTTCCTCAAAATCCTTGCGCTTTGTCTCGGCCTGCTTGATATCAATGTTGTAAAGTTTGTAGATGGGATCAATAATTAGCTTCTGGATATTAGTGGCATTCGACTTTTCATATACCAAGATTTCCTTTGCAATCTTGTCAAAGTAATGATCAATGGCAGGCTGGACAGCGTTGGCGTTGGACGACGACGCCTCTCGCAGTGCATCCATGAGATCGGACATGGCATTGTTGCACCCGACCTGTGCTTCCATGGCAGCCTCTGCGCGCTTCAGGACCTTTTTCCACCGAGTGCGCATGTTGCCGGTCTTTTGCTCGAGCGACTTCATCGTGGCACGGAATAGCGGCCCATCATCGGTTTGGCTGAGATCCTCGCCAGGGCGGGAGACATCGAGCTTGACGGGCACATTTCCACTCGATACTGTAGTCGCCTGGCTGGGTACCAAACCCAGACTGTGCTCTGGTATGGGCTCGCAAATGGGCGATCTCGGGGGAGGAGCCTCCCATTCTTTATCTTCGCCAGCCGAGTCGCTGACTCGAGACTCTATGGATTGGGCAGAAGGTACGCGAAGACGGGGCGGAATAGCAAGTTCCATGCGCGGGGCGGGCGACTTTGGGCTCTGGACCTGGCGTGACGTGTCTGTAAGTCGTCAGCAGCTGCTCATATGCGCAAGGTCGGGGAGGGAAAATCCAGTACTTTGGACCCAAAAGGAAAAGTTTGCTAGTGTCTCGAGCCGGTGTGCTCGTTGATCGTATTCGACAAACTTGGGAAATGTCAGTTTTTTTTTGTCAGGCACGAGCAGGAGCGGGTATATACAGACACTACAGCTGGTGCGCCAGCCCCCGCCGCGGGATTCTGAGGGCTTTGGAGGGGTCCACTTCCATGACCACTGGAACTGGACGGAGGCATGCCCGCCCGTTGAGTAGTCGCCGACAAGCTCCACCTGGGGGTTCTTGTGGAGGTTTGGATTTGCGTGGAACTCGCGCGTGACGAGGTTGTCAAGATCCCTTGAGCTCGAGGCGAAGAGAAAGGTCAGGCCGTTGATGTTTGTATCGACGAGGCCCGAGGGGGTGATTGCGGAAGTAGTGTTGACATTGTATATGCTGGGCACGGCTAGGTGCTGGCGGAGGACAAAGGTGAAGTTGAAGGTGAGCTCTTCGTCGTTGGTCAGGCGAAGGAGCAAGGCTGGGGGGCTGTCGCTGGAGGGGACTGCCTCTGGGTCCTGTGGGGAGAGGGGAGTTTAGCAAAGAGAGATGGTGATGGCGGTAGTGGTGGTGGTGGTTGTGGTGGGCAAGCAGGGGGGGCGTACCTGGATGTACTCGATTACGCTGTCGTCGCCAAAGTCACGGCGCGCAGTGTAGCGCGTGGCGGGGAAGGCATTGGGGGCAACGTTGAGCAGCGTGCGGTTGCGGCCATTGGTGATGTTGAGCGAGGCCACCGAGACTGGGGGCGATTAGCTCGAGGGTGCTGGGGTGGGGTGGGCGACGAGAAGACAAGGACATACATCTGGTCTGGTCGCGCAGATAGAGGGCGCCTGCATCGCCGGCTTTGCTGTGGACAGCGCCCATGGCGGCGAGGAGGTTGTGGTGATGCGCGGGCGCATTCCTCTGGCGCCGGGAGGAATATGGGGTATAGCGCTATTGGGATGATTAGAGGGGCCGGCTCAGGGCTGCGACCGTGACTTGTCGTCGCCAGGGCTGCGATGCTAGCAGAGGCACGGCAGGCGGGCGACAGACAGCAGACAGCAGACGGCAGACAGCAGACAGTGGTCTTGGAGTGACCACGATGGCTGACGGTCCTGTCTGTGTGTCTGTCTCCAAGACTACACAGTAAACTAACTCCAGGCCGGGCGGGGGAGGGCAAACGGTCATGCAGCCATGCAGGAACGCCCAGGTGGTGAAACAGTTTGGACACGGCCCTGGCCTCCCTCTTGTCAGGATGCCATCCATGCATCCCCCAACTAAGTACACAGTAAGTGTGCCTGCACCTGTGATGCACGCCCTGCATCCCCCCGCCAATCAGAACCCCCGTCTTTCCGCCGCCAGTCTGCCGTCATCGAGTCCTGGGGCCTTAGTAGAGGGCTGCTATTGCGAGAGAAAAAAACATTACTTTATTAGACTTCACCACCACGCCGACAAGTGCTCCCTGGCCCGTCTTCTGGTCGCGCGACACCATGGCCATGCGCTTCCCCCCGCTGCGCCACGCCCTGCGTCAGCCCCTCGCCAGCCCCCGCGCCACACAGCGCCGCTGGGCACGCGTGCAGGATGTGCGCTTTCTCGTCACCCACGACACCCAGGAGCGGGTCCTGGCAAAGTACCGCGACAAGCTCGAGTCAAAGGCCCGCGAAAAGGGCCTCCGCGACCTCAATGAGCTCAAGGAGCAGTACAAGGACCGCATCGAGGAACTGAGGAAGCAGGCCATTGTGCCGGGTGCAACAGGCCCTCTGACCCCTCCACCAGAGCACAAGCAGCAGCAGCAGCGACAAACACAAAATGCCCCTCCACCACCAAGCGCAGACGGCGCGCAGACATCGCCACCCCGCGCTGGAGCTGGCTCCCCTACCGCCCCGCCCCCAGGCGTCCAGACGCTCAATTCCTTCCTCGCCGTCGACAAAATCCAAGACAACACGCGAGAGGAGATAGAAGCCCTCTGGCGCATGCGCCATGCAAACAACCCGCAGGGCATCCACTTTGCCGTCCCAGCAAGCACCTTCTCCAACCTCCTCCGCAGCGCAAAGCAGCATCCCTCCTTCGTCCTCCCCATCCCCCGCGAGATGCCCGCAGACCCCGACGCTGCCCCCGACGCTCAGGGCGAGACGCAGCAGGCCGTCGAGCTGCACTACCTGCAGTTTGCCCACCCCCACGACCACACAACAACCCTCATGTTCACCACGCTCGCCGAGTTCAAGCTGCGCGGCGAGTTTGCTAGTCCCCACACCACCGTCACCTTCCACCAGGAGCTGGCCGACAGCCACAACCTCGTCCTCGGCCAGGGCCTCGTCGTCGAAAAGCGCGGCGTCAGTCTCGACGACGCCCGGTGGCTCATCATGTGCATGCAAAAGTTCTATGTCCAGACGGACGAGGGAAAGGGAAGGAGCGAGCTGCTCGACATGTTCACCAGAGGCGACAGTGCCTTCAAGGTCGAGCGTCTGATTGACGAGGCCGAAAAGGTATTGTAGTGTATTATATGTAAATGTACCATGTATAACATCATCGTCATCGTCATCGTCATCCTCAACCAACCCATTGTACCTTTGGCCCATCATCCCCGCAGCGGCAGTACGTGCTGCACCAAACACGCTTGTCTGCACAGCGGGCATTCTGGCTTTTCCCTCGCCCAGTCTCCGATACATGTCCAGCAAAAGACATGGCCGCACGTAGTCACACTCGGGTCCTTCATCTCCTCCAAGCACAGCGTGCACTTCCTGTTGCCTCCCCCAATCCACTCCATAGTCTCCTCATCCCCAAGCTCGTACCGCGGCTTATCCGTCGGCGGCGTGTGCGTCCACTTTTGCACGTCCGACGCCGCAGCTGTGGGCACAGCCGGCGTAGCGGCATCGAACAAGAGCGCATTGTTGGCGCTGTACGCATTCGGATCCAGCGACACTTCTGCGCCTCCACCCACAATCACCGACGTGCCATGCGGATGACCGCTCCCACCTGCCGCTGCTGCTGCCGTCGACGACGCCGTGACTGTATTGTGCAAGTGCAGATACGCCTGCACCGCCATCTGTAGCACCAGCAACACACCCAGCACTTCGTACCCAGCCCGGTTATCCCCCTCAGCCACCTGCCGTGTGAAGATATACCTGAGCCCCCACAACCGCTTCGACAGGTGATAGTAGCTCCCCGAAAAATAAAACGTCGCAAGCGACACCGCATACACCGGCGACGGCGATGTAATCGTATCCAAGTTTTGCAGTATGTAGTTCTGCACTCGCATCCCCAGTGGCCTCCTGATTTGCACCTTCTCGCCCTTCTCCTGCGCAACCATCTGCGCCCGCGCCTGCTGTCGCGCATACCATCTCAGATTCGCCTCGAGCTTCGCACGTATCCTGCGCCTAAACGCCGGCAACGCCCTCCCCAGCACATACGGCCCCAGTATACACGCGACAATGTATCCTGCTCTTCTCCCCAGCGCGGGCAAGCGGCCTGTTTCGCTTTCCACCTGCACAATGTCTGTGTATTCTTCGCCCAGCGTGCGATTGCCAATTAGTGTCGTGAGACCCAGGTAGAGCAGCTCGCCTATTACGCGTGTTTCGGAGAGGTACGTGTGTGCGGTGCGCGCGCCGTAGAGTTTGCGGACGAGGGAGGAGAGGTGCTCGAGGAGGACGCCCGAGAAGTAGGCGTCTTTTTGGTGCGAGCGGATTATGTCGGGCGATGCAGCGAAGGGGTAGGCGAAGGGGGGTGAGGGCGCCATGGTTTATGTTGTGTGTATGATTGTGCGCGATGAGTGTATTAAAAGGAACGACGATGGGGCGCGTCGTTTTGTCGTTGCAGAGCACAGGGATGCGTTTACATGGTGTGTTGTTGATGCATGGGGGGCTCCGGGCACGAGTGACATGCTCCTACCTCGGCCTGTGCCTGACGGTCTCGCGTTTACCGCAGCCGTCATCTTGGCCTGTGATACAACGCCATCGCTCCCAACCGTACACACGTAGTCCGTACGTCAACTCCGTGATATGCTTTCAGAAAGAACAAAATAGGAATGGAGAATATAGCACATGTCCGTATTATAAAAAAACATTCTCGGCTATCCAACTTTCACTTCACCCTACACATCCAGATCCATATATCTTACTACCCAAGATACCTCCCACAAATCCAACTCATTTAAAAAACATCCCTTTCTTGGGGACAGGCTTCTTCTCCTCCTCCCTCCGAATTCTAGCATGATATTCAACAACAACCTCCCTCGCACCATGCAAATCCTCTTCTGCCAACCAATCACGACTATCCTCATACCCCTCCCACTTGACCAGGTAATACGTCTTATCCCCATCCTCATAATGCTCTTCAATCGCTTCAACCACGAATTCGTCTGTGGCTTCATTGTCGTTGCCATTTGCATTACCGCTTTCGTCTTCCATGATGGAATCCGCAGTCATGTGTATAGTGTCGCTGTCCACTCCGCCTCTGAGTGCAGATGGACATGGCTGTATAGGATTAGCAGAGCCCGACGGCGCATATGCGGGGATCGAGTCGCCAGAGTCGGAGGATCTAAACATGGGCGATCCTAGTGCGGGCAAATCGGTCGGCGGTATTGCTGCGATATCCTCGTGAACAAGGGGACTCGAGTTTGCGTCTATGGCAGAGGAGCGGTCCGAGAAGAGGGCTGCTGAGAATGCTTCTGTCGGTATTTGCGGAGGGGACGGTGCTGATGTATCTTGGTCCGAGTCTGGGTTTCCGGGTTTCAGCCTTTTGATACGGTGCTGGTTTTCGTCTAGTCCGCAGTCTTGTTGCGCAATGGGTGTAGGTAAATTGTCTGCTTTATCCTCTTGGGTGTCGTAGGCGTCGGGAATGGATAGTCTCTTTGTAACAGGCGACAGTGGCAGAGCGCTATTAGCAAAAAATGCCGAGCGCATCAGACCTGGAGACGGTTGGATTCGCGCGTCCGAATCTTGGTTCTCTTCACCATCGGTTTCTGAAATTACTGGAGGTATATCCTGGGCTACTTGGTCCGGAAACATGGTAGAATTGTCAAATTGCTCGCCCAAATCGCCTTGACGCATAGCCAGGCTTCCGTCTCTGCCTCTGCCTCTCCCTCTGCCACGTCTCCCTGGAGGCCTGCCTCTTGTCTGCATCGGTACATCTGAAGGTAACCCTAGTCCATTAAGCATCCGGCTTCCTGCTCCAGTGGTCTTGGCTCCTCTTGCATTCTTTTCCAGTTGCCGGCGCATCAGCTCGTCAATCTCTGCCTGTACCGCAACAGCTTCTGCCTCTGCCTCGAGTCTGAACTGCTCATTTTCAAATCGCTCCAATTCGGCGGAAGAGACGTAGTGCAATATGCAACTGAGATCTACCTCTTCTGTGACTTTATGTTCTTCATTGTCGCCAGTACGTGCAATTTGAACAACGTAGTAATTTCTTACTACCGCGCCCTCGGTTTGTCGTCGATCAAGAATTCGCGTTTGGGCGTGTGGTATCGGACACTCGTCGGATGGTTGTGCGGTAACAACGGCAGGTTCTCTACGGATACGCCATAGCTGCTCATAAATCTCTGCACCCGGTTTGTATGACTCCCATTCCCACTACAAAAACAATGAGCGGCTTTCTAGGCGTATGCGCCAACATCACATACCAGCTGCGTCTTTCCTCTACCGCGTCCTCTGCCTCGTCCGCGTCCACGACCGCCCCGGGAGACTCTCAGAGCCATTGCGACTGTCGAATAGAATGCGACAGCTTGTTTTGCGACGCGTCATTGTGTAAGAAACAAGAAGGGTCAAGGTAAAGGCACGTCTATCGTACCTGAAGGCTGAGGTACTTAATTACGCACGAAGCCTTACTGACGTATCTGGTTTAGCGCCTGTGCAGCACCAGATCGATGCGACTATCCAATCAACATGGGTATTTTCCTTTGACCCCGTTGTGATAAAGTTCTGACAGGCAAATCAAGATGGAGACGGAAAATGGAAGGGGAGACAAGGCCATATAATGCCAAAAGTCAATGTAACCGTCAGCTAATTTAACTACACTTTTGCCTTCCAGTTCCAGCCCACAAGAGATATCCTCGTAGCCACGAGCAAACTCCCTCCAACGAAGAACGACATGGCTGCCCAAACGTTTGCATATGTATAGTCGCCGTTGTTCATCTGGATAAGTGCACCGGCTAGCGGCGGACCTGTCAGACTCGACATACTCACAATGCTAAAAGCCATGCCCATTCGCACACCCGTTTTCTTCAGATCCATCTCGCGGCTCATAGTTCCAATGACAGCAGGCCACAATGCCTGAATAACGGCACTCCCGCTGCCATATATAGCTGCAAAGACATATAATGTACCAATCGACTTGATTCCGATCCATGCCAGCATCATGATGCCGCAGATAAAGGCAAAAGGTGTCAACACATTCAGCCCCCCAATTTTATCGGCGTAGTACGTGGGCAGTATTCGAAAGAGAAACCCCATGGCAACTTGCACAAGGAGCAAGTTGATACTCTGTTGATAGCTGACACCGAGGACGTTGCGCGCATAGCTCCCGATGTAGAAGAAGGAAAAGTACAAGCCCCAGAAACAGAAGAAAGCCGCAGTGCAGTACAGGGTATAGGGCAACTCCTTGAAACTCACCCAGTCAACCAGCGGACCACTTTTCCTCGGCGGAAGTCGCGTACGATACAGAGCAATCGTCGTCATGTTCACAACGAGCATGATGAAGCCAATGATGCGGATGGTCCACGCGAAGCCCATGCTAGGCAGGCATTGCTGCGCAATGATTGGGAAAATTACACCGCCGGTACAAGCACCCAATGCTGTGAATCCAAGTGCAAAGGCGCGGCGCTTGACAAAGTACGTGGATACCAGAGCCATGGAAGGACAGAATAGTAGGCCGTTTGCGATACCTAGACAGACACCTTGGGAGAGGAAGATCTGCCATGCGCTCTTACACTGTGCCAAAGTGAAGATACCGACTAATTGGAAACAGCTTCCGGCCATGTAGACCGGGCGAAAGAGTCCAGCATCAGTAGCGCGACCGGTAAAAGTGCCGAGAGAAAAGAGGAGGAAGACTTGTAAGGACCCGATCCATGATATTGTCGACGGCTCGATGCCAAGCGTTTTTTCGTAGTAGGTCTGGTATACACCGAACGAGCTGAAGAAGCCAAACGTCGTCAAGATAGTCAGGTGGGTACAAAATACTTGGGTCCAGGCTTGAACACCGCCATCAGGAGCTGGACCGGGGTCAAAAGATGCTACAGATCGGCGTGACAGCACTCGTGCAAGAGCAGGCAGGTTAGGCTTCTCAGATGGCTGGTGTACACTTGGAGGCTCGGCTTCTTCTTGAGGCAAACCCTGTTCGATATCGGCATTCACGTTGGCAGGTTTCGCTGCCTCATTGCCCATTTCTGCGTTGATGCGTTGAGTCGTCATGGTTCTTGACCATTGGAGTTGGCGTTTCAGGCCGAAGATGAAGATGAGGGCGTCACTTTACAGTTCGAAAACTCACATCAATGGCGAATTCCGGGAATAATATTGCTTAATAAATAAATGGATTATGGCCGCTGCTTGTACTCAACGAAACGCCGACCCGGCGTGCATGTGGGCCAATAACCTCGTGTTGCTCAAAAAGGGTGGGGTCGGCGGTTTTTCCGACAATCACAGCGGCGCGCATGACTTAATCATGGTCGATAAACTTGAGTATTACTAGCATATCTATATCCATTTGTGCATTACTTACACCGCGTGTCTTCTCTCTGCTGTGTATATGTACATTGTATTGAACCATGACATTACACGACCCGTAGTCCACACCGCTCACGACTGCCTTTACGGTCCTTTTCGAGTCAGCGATACCAAGGTTACCAAGGGTGCGGATCAATTCCGCTTTTCAACTTCCTCCACCTGGAGCTCCGAGGTCTTAATGGCATTTTTCTCATGAATCCAAGGCTAGTGAGTATGAGAATTACACAATGCTGTTGTGGAGACTTGACCAAACCCGCGATCCGTGGATACTACAATATCCACTTTAGCCAGCGAAAGTCGATATGCATGTCAACCGCGATGATGTAACGAATCATCGAGACATTTAAAATGCACTAGAATTTGCCATGGTCATTTCACTTACTATTCATCCAGACAGCGATAGCATGACCTTGATTAGCGCATCGAGTTTCTGCAGGCATTCGCATCGAACAAAGCTACCTAGCTATCACTCCTTCGATCAGCCGTTCTAACACCGCTTAGAGGCAATGCTTTGCCATCCCAAGATCATATCGCAGATCTGATATTTGTATCCTCCAATCGATTTCTTATCGCAATGTGCTACCCCTCTTGAATCCTCCACCGGTCAGACATGACGTCGCACCCGCATATCCCACCTCCACCATCTACATAGAATAACAATAAGAGAATTGTACCGAGAAGCTGGGTTTCACACATATAGTTCTACTGCCACTCTACAGTAGTCGTGCTTTCAGCATTCAATTTTCCCTTACAGTAATCAAATATTTTCCATAACCGATTTTTCGCAATGGGTAACAGCACGTCATCAATTGGCTCGGATACGGCGTCACAAGCAGATACTGGAAACCGCAATAATACAAACTGCACAGGGTGCAAGGACTGTACGTGAAGCAACTGCTTACCATACCTGCAGACTGAGAGCTGATCTTACGTTCATGTGCACTAGGCCAGAACTGTACAGATTGTAGAGGCAAGTCATTTCCTACTGGTTCATACCTGCCTTATATCGCACATGTTCACGGATAAATGTATTGCATCTATCTCATCATACCACATTTGCATCTGGCAATGAATCGTCTCAAGCACGTCGCTTGAATGCCTAAACAGGTCTTTTGACAACTAAATAGATTGCACATCCTCTCGCAACTGCACAGACTGCGAGAATTGTACTGATTGTCAGAATTGCACCAGTTGTACCGACTGTACGGGGTGAGTTCAAACAAAGTCACAGGGCGAGAACGAGCGCATTTTGGCGGTTTGGAACAAGAAGCTGACGAGATCAGCTGCTCCAATTGTACTGATTGTAGCGGACTGAAAGACGCGCAGAACCAAACAGGTGTTCATGAATAACGGAAGCTGTGTCAGTCTCGAAAAGGAAGAAATAATTTGCTTTGACTAGGATTGTTGTAATACAACAAAGTCAGAATGTCGCATGTCAAAGGATAGAAACAGAGACGAAGAAGACGACAGACGGCAATCAATTAAAGTTTTCTCTATAAGATTTGCCGAACCGCTCGTGGTAGCTTGTCGAACCGACTAATATGTGATTTCCTCAAAACCAATGGCGCATTCTCTCATCTCTACCTTTTGCACAACAATCGTACAAAACCAATTTCACTACTGTGTATAGATGACTAAAACTCTGAGATCTCACATTGACACTTTTTCTATCAGACAGTGTGAACCAATCACTATATGTCTTGATTCACTATGTCTACTCTCTCCATGCACATTGCCCCATCGATCCTCTCTTATTATCCTATATAAGTCCTCACCTTGTACTTCCAGATATTTATTACACGCCTTAAAAAAAGCAATCACACCCATCCCACCATATCACCATGCAAGCCATCAAGAAAATGTTGCCAAAGCGTGACCGCTCTGAACCTACTCTACAGCCCAAAAACAACGCACTCCTCCCTCGTCTCATCCACAACAAAAAGTCAAAGATAAAGAAACACATCTGTCACCTCCTCAAACCCCTCCGCATCGGCTTCCTCCTCGAGAGTTTCAACAATCCTAATCTCCCTCTTATCATTCTCCGCCCTCCAACTCCCATGTGGGAAATGTACAACGTCGAAGAACGCCTTTTTGACCGCTCAGGCGACAATTTCGTGTTGAAGAAGAGCAAAGCGCGCGCGAATTTTAAGCAAGAGGGTAACAGGATGCTGCCGGTGCCGGTGCCGAAGCTTGAGGACTTGCTAATGAGTGGAGATGAGGGCGAAGATGAGGCAGTAGAGGCGGGGAGTGAGGGGTTGGGCGCGGAGTGCGAGGCGGATTATCGGGCGTATATGACCGGGATGGGTTTGGTCGGGTAAAAGGGAGCGTTAAGATGGATGTGATTGCTTTGATCTTTCGCGGATAGTATCTTCTTGGTAATAAATAGACTTTGGACATTTTCTAATCTTGTGGGAGGGGATTTGAGTGATTGTATTGTGCTGATTGGGTGTTGTGCCTCGTCCGCTCAGACGCTACTGAGTGTGAATGTGCTGGCTGTGTTGATACTGTGAAAGTGTGTTGTGCATGTGATTTACACCTGTTGGCCTTCTTTATACCGACTTTGCAGCTCTGAATGTTTCAATATCTTGCACATGGTTGCTCGTTGTCTCGAAGTAGCGATGGAAAACGATGAATTCATTTTTGCTCTTGTTCAGCCTTGCGTCGCCTTAATCTGGCAGTGCGTTCAGCTTCGAGTGCATATCAGCAGCGGGAGAAAGTTTTGATCTATTCTGTTATTTCGATAACTTGAAATGCTCTGACCATCTAATATCCTATCGAGATTGTCTGCTTCGCAGTTATTTCCGTTCATCCCGATTTACATCAGGTCGTCACCTTTTCTATGCCTTCCCTCACTACTGGATGTAGCCTTGCTCATCAATTCACGATCCCCTGCAGATAAAGTAACTGGATTCAACGGCAATCTATCGATCGGGATAAAAATCTCAAAGAAAAGATGTACACGGGCCCTCACATGACGTTCCGTCAAAGCTGCTAGCTGATCCAATAACGTCGCTACAACTATCCAGCAACCACATATTCGCTCACTCCCAACAAAAAGCTGAAAGGCAAGATGGCGCCACCTGTATACTCCTGCTGTAGGGTTATCAACAGGCAGAGAAGATTCACAACCCGGGCTGTGGATGTTCCAACTACCAACATCGAAAGTGAACATGAAACTTTTCCTGAATTGGCTAAACAATATGTCAAGGCACGTGGCTTTTTTGTGGAGGTAATCCTCCTGGCGAAAGTTCAGTCTACTTATCTCTTTGGAGAGAAGTGGATTGCTAGAGGCTTGTGTTTAGGGACCTGCCCGCAAAACCACTGAGATCTACAATGCGGCCACATCTGGTGGCGCCCGCGCTAGTCCGAGTAATTTGGAACAAACTCAATACCTCTAATCTTGAATATGCGGTGTGAAATTGAAAGGAGCAACATAGAGTCCCCTCTTTTTAACATAACTATACATCTCCAGTACAAAATTAGTTGATGTTACCAGCCGGGAGATCAATTTTTCAGGATACATATGCGCGGTAGATAATATATAGATAGGGTTGGCAGAATTGTGTGGCAAAAAGCAGCTCGAAGCGAATTCCACCCGCGCACTAATGACCATCGGCCGCTCCGTCCGCTTGCAAGCCAGACTAATAGCATTTGTTGTAAATGCCCACCGCACGGATGTTCAGGGCCTCTCGCCATGTTATTTTGGTTGCATAGTATCGTTGTTGACAGTTATAATGAGCCATCGCGCCGATTCTTCCCTCCTCTTCACCCTTATGCTCTCGAGCATATTTACAGTCTTTATATTCAGCCGATGGTTCTAATCTACATAAGCCACTAATTCCCATATTCAAAATGGCCCTGTCACTCTTTCAGTTAGTTGCAATCTCAGTTAGTTGCAATCTGCACCACTTTTTGTCTCTCTTTTGGTGCCCCTGCACCTGCAGTCACTTCTCGAACCTCAACTTCTTGTACCAAGTCTCTACGATCTACCCTCTTCTCACCAGCAAGCTTGGGCTACTCTTATGGCAATGCGCCCATTATTTCGCCCTCTGTATCACCAACCCCTTACCCATCCTTAGCTGTCTACTCAATTTCCATCGATACATCTACGTTTCTTCAGTTGTATACACCAGTCAGCAGTCCAACCCCGATTGACAGTCCGACACCAATCAAGACACCAACGCCCATCGAAATCCCCACACCAATCGAGACTCCCACGCCTCCACCCATTCTCTGCAATGTCTTCCGCCCCAGAATACTTACCGTAACACCTCAACGCAATATTCGCATGGCCAACGGTGTCCCATTTGACTCCAAACTCTGCAAAAGCTTCTGTCGCAGCCTAGGTACCTGCGCCAGCTACGGGGTCACCAGGCCATTCTGCGAATTATACGCTCTACCTGTTGCGGGGGTTGTATGGACTGGCGATACTAATGAGACTGTGACGAACGCTGTGTATACATTCTACGATCTACAGTGTGTGTAAGGGCTAAATTTCTCATGTGCGTATCTGCACAACAGTGCTGCGAGGACCTAATGCCGGCTCACACGTAGCTTTCCTACAAGACTGCTGTCCATTCCATTCACATACCATGGCACAATTTCGTGTCCTTTGGATCTCCCATTTTCATCATTGCATTGCCTCTTCAAACGTAACGCCTGGTACAGAATCGTATCCATTTTCGTAACTACCTTAATGCTAGAGACTTGGATCTAGCTTGCCTTATTGATATAGTAACTAAGTTACTTTACATCTTCTAAGCGTGCTATCTAAGTGCTCTTGGGACAAGGTGAAGTACTAGCGCGAAAGGTAGGGCTTTCTCAAGCTTTTACTAAGATTTCTTTAAGAAGTCTCCTCGTTCTATTCACTGAAGCTAGGGCCTATAGCTTTCCGAAAGGAAGAAGGAATGGTATTAGTACTTGAGTTAAGTCTAGTGAGTTGCACCTTCAATTTCAATTTCTTGTTTCCAAGGTGGCGATCGCTATTCTCGGTTTCCTCTGTGCTATTATATCTCTGATCATCGTTTCACGGTATTTCAGTGTTATGATGTCCATACTGCATTGCAAATGCGCAAAAGAGTCAACGTTCTAGAGATCGACTTTATTTTGCTATAGCTAGGATTCACCAATAGTAGTGAGACAAGGACTTAGCTTTGTTGAAAAGCTTGAAGGAAAAAGAACAGCTGTTTGTACCTCCTCCGCTATTGTAATCCCTCCATCGAGTTCGATGCCTGAGGTGTCTATGTCGAGCTTATGAGCAAGCGACTTTCCAGGACTGAAATTCTACATCAGTTGAGCATACTGTGCCGCTATTACCGACCGCCCCTCCGACCTAAACGCCACAGGTGTCTGGTCAGTATTGTACTATCGTTGGATGTGTTATGATGTTGGAGGAAAAATCCCCAAAAAAGTAGAGAGAAGGTGATTACATACTTGAGTGCCGCAATTTCGGTCTCCATACATATAACCAACACAATTGCGGCCATTGGTGAGAGTAAGAGATATAGGCTTTTTCTGGTCGGCTGGAACATTGGTCAACTGGCAAGAAGTGCTGCCAGTTCCATCCACTCGATAGGAGTTGCCTCCGCATTGGGATTTCCAGTTTACCCATACAGTCCACGCAGAGGCATGCGGGAGGACAGCAGTTACGAGAACGAAGGTAGCGGCGGTAAAACGCATTTTGAAAAGATCAAAAGTTTGAGCGAAGATACTTTGTAACCGCAAGATGTCTGGTGACAGTAGTAAAGAAGCTTTTAGAGTGAAGTGGCAGTGATGAAAATACTCAGAGAAATGGATACCCTTATATACCTGTTTCTCCATTGATTGCTTCTATGTTCGCTCGAAGGATAGAAATAGATCATCTGCCTTGATTACCCATCGAAAGGGAGTGTCGTGTTCCCAACGCATGGTGAAAGATCGCAGCGAAAGCGGCCATTCTCCTCATCTGGCATCATACACCGACATGCGCCTCCTCCACAGTAAGCAGCTGAATTTTATACACGATGTATGCCATCCTATTCTGCCTATGCGTTTAGCATCACTTGGACTCTTGAATCCCAATAATGAGGACAACTGATCCAGCTATACCCACTGTCTACAACTGTCAGGGCTATCATCTGTTATACAGCCCTAACAGTATAGTTATCCTGGAGCTAGGGACGCATTCTATTTGGCATAGAGGAGATGTAAGAATCTGCTGTTATTCGTTGAGCAAGACACAATTGCAAACATGGCGTAGTGGTGTTCTATTCTTAAACAACTGAAAAGAGTAAACGTTAAAGGCTTGGATGTATTGACACGAGACAGCATGATATCTCTGGGCAGTCTTGGAAGGTGTCTAAATTAATGAGAATGTCTTACTGTTACGTATTTATCGAGGTTCGGATTGCGGGGTTCGGAGGAATGCTATTGTGACTAATCAGTGTTGCCTAGGGGAACAGGGTTTCTCACGATAAGTAGTATGGGATGTCATAATCGAGCCAAGTCGGCCACTTCACTACCGCCAAGCCAGCCACTCCAGCCCTACCCGCTTACTGATAGTAAGCAGTGTGCATCCAGGCTACAAAGTCTGGCAACATGTTTTGATTACTAATTAGTATTGCTCAAAGGTTATGCGACTCCAAAGACAGCATTTGGGCTCGCGGTCGGGTAGCAGCTGGGTAGAGGAACTATTGGTATGCGCACGAGGCTCTTCACTTCATCAACTGCGTCGGCATGCGCAGTGATGAAAACAGCTGCATCCGCATTCAGTATTCGACTGTTGTGTCCAGATTACTTGAAGGGCATGTATAATCGGTGAGACTCCAACGTAAGTGTATGCAAGTATGAGCTGCGCCACGGTGTGCAGGTCCTGAGATGAGCGTTTGATATCGGTGAACATGCCATCTATTTTGGCCATTTTGAATCGATTGCAATCCCGTTTCTCATTCCTAGCATCAGGGACATTACAGCTCACACATCGTGTTTGGGAATCCGAGTGCGAAACAGATTCGACAAAGTGAGGGGCGTCGTCTTAGGCGATCATAGTTGTTATGTGTGGAAGTGAACAACGAAAAGTGGACGGTGTGAATGGATAATTGGCAGACAATAGGATAAATATAGTTATGAACCAAAGGATCACCTAATAATTTCATAACAATTATCTATCGAGTCAATTCACTTCCGATTGCGCTTTCGTAGGGTGTCTCCATCGGAGAGCCTCCGAGGCGTGGCAAGTACGCGGAGCATCCCGGCTCGTTCGTCGGACGTCCGCCGAGGCGATGGCCGCTGGAGCCGGTATTCGGCCGTTTGATCTCTTGCGAGCGGTCTGAACACTGCGCTCTCTGTTGCCCGTTCTGGCGCATACGGCGAAACTGGATTGCATTCAGATACATTTGTTAGGATCTTAGTTTTGGCTGGAGCTTGCACTTATGCACCAATAAAACCCGGTAATTCACTATTCATTATTATGTACCTTTCCTATGCATATCATGCTAATCTGGGGCTCTCTCTTCTTGCACCACTAGAAAAATGCAAGAGCATTGGGTGGGCTTGCAACTCCGCCTGGCACCTAGGTTGAAAATAAGTCAACAAAAATATGGATAAACCAGAGAGACCAGACGACTCACGTTCAAAGGCTCGCTCGAAATGAAGAACGTATATCTCCCCAATTCGTTACAGGTAGCGCTCAGGTCCTCCAAGTCAAACAGCTCTCCAATCGGCATTCCCCAGCCTGCTAGCAACCACTCATGCAGATGCCATTGCAGCGCCGTGCAGGGCCACTTTTCGAAAGATCTTGAATCGCCTGCAACGGCGGCGAACCTGATATTCCAAAGAAATTCCAGGAGCTCTTTCGAAGGCTCCAAGCCAATGTTTTCGGGCTTTTCTCTCTGATACAACTCATCAAGTTTCTCTCTCCGCTCGGGCGACATAGCTTCATATTGTTGTACGTATCCGCTGCGTACAAATAATACGTCGCCCTCTCGAAAATCGGATATACTCAGTCCTTGAGCTTTCGCAGCCGACATAAGCGAATCAAACAACATACAAGCACCAACTTCGAGTTTTTCAGAATAGGTGTAATTTTAGCTCATTATATACAAATCCATCCCAAGAAATCGATT